GTGGGGGGGAGTCAGGCCTCCTGGGTTCTATCCCCAGCTCTGAGTGTGGGTGGGGGGGAGTCAGGACTCCTGGGTTCTACCCCCAGCTCTGGGAGAGGCTGTGGGGGCTAGAGGTTGGGGGGAGGGGGATCCGGACTCCTGGGTTCTATCCCCAGCTCTGGGAGAGGCTGTGGGGGGTAGCGGTTGGAGCCGGGATGGGCGGGGCCCAGGGACACTCTGTGCTCCCAGGGGCGGGGAGGACCCATATCAGCCGTTCCCAGGACGCTTCCCTCTCTCCCTGCTGCTTATCTCCCCACGCCCCCCAGGGGCTCCCACTCGATTTCCCCCGCCGGGGCCTGCCCCTTAACCCTTTCCGAGCCGGGACGGCTGATGGCCCCCACCCTTGTCACCGCAGGGGTCACACTGGGGTTGGTGGGAGCCAGGATCACCAAGGGACATTAGGGACCCCCCCTTAACAGCGGGGGGGGGAAGGAATAAGGCTGGCTGGTTGCTAGGCAACTGCAGGGATTGGGGGCAGGAAGCTAGTGGTGAGATGGGGGGCGGGAGCTTTGTGTGGGGGGGGTTCCTCATGGCCTGATTCTCCCCGGGCAGTGTTACAGATTCCAAAGGGGGGGTATTTACAGTTCAAAGGAGCCGTTTGATCTGGGTCTGAGACGCTGAGTCCCTGCGCAGGCGCCCATCATGGCATCCCTCCGTGCCTCAGTTTCCCCACCTGTCCAATGGGGAGAATGTTTATTTAGATTGTCAGCTCTGGGGCAGGGACTGTCTCTCAGTGGGTCCCAGCAGCGCCTGGCCCAAGGGGGGGCCTGATCCCAGGCGGAGTCTGTGCAGCACCAGGCCCGAAGGGGGCCCCGATCCCGGACGCAGCCTGGAAGCGCAGCTGTAAGACGCTAACGAAGCTGCCTGTGGGGTTGTGGCGAAATGGGAATTTTTGGTAATATTTTCATGACCCCCGCATGTGCCTCAGTTTCCCTCCGGAAGTAGCCTTGCTCCCCAGCGGATGTGAAAGGGTTAAATCTGCTCTTGGCCCAGAGCAGGCACCCGGGGCTGGCTGGGGTGGACCCAGGGGCTCGTTGAAGCACCAGCTGGAGACTCCAAACAGCCAAGGGGAGCCCCCCGGACCCCAGTTAACACCCAGCAACCCAGCCCCGGCCCCAGAACAAAGGGGTCAGGCCGGGGGTTAAGCACTGCCCCCTGGAGCCCAGGGCTTGGCCGGACAAAGGGCAGAGCCAGGATAGTGCCCACTGCAGCTCTGCTGGGTACACGCTCTGGCATGGCCAGGCTGCCCCACGCCACCCCTCAGGGCCACCCTGGGGCCCGGCCGAGGCTGCGAGCGGGCTCTGTTTGGAGCCGGCTCCCGGAGGGCACGCAGGGGGCTGGCTGCCCGGCCTTCACTGCAGGGAGCCACCGAGAGACATGGGTCAGCTGGTCCCCAGGCCCGGTTCTGGAGTCACGTGGGGCCGGGGGGGGCGGCCCCATAAGGGAGTCACCCCCAAATGCCCAGCCTGGAGCAGTCCCTGTGGATCCAGGCCAGGGGGTAGCCAAGTGTTTAAAGGACAATGGACCCACAGGCGCGCAGCCCCTCAGCCCCACCCTCTGAGCTGGGAGCGGATCCCGGGGGGACGGGTCCCCAGTGGGCATTGAATAAACTGGGGATCATGCACCCAGGAGCACCCGCGATTCACAGCTGATGGACCCGGCCCTATGCAGCCGGGCGCCCCCCAGCGAGGGGCAGGGAGCCTGGCCTGGTGCCAGGGAGGCACCGCGGGCCGGAGATACCCACCTGGAGAAACCCGGGGCACAGCCCTGTGCCAGCCAGCTGCAGAACCCGTCTGCCCTCCGCCTGATCTATCGTCTCTCCCCACGGGCACCCGCCCGCCCCATGCCCCCCTCTATCCATCCCTTCCCACCCCCCACCCAGCCCCCCATCTGTCCCTCCCCACGGGCACCCGCCCGCCCCCACACCCCCCTTTATCCATCCCTTCCCACCCACCACCACCCAGCCCCCCATCTGTCCCTCCCCACGGGCACCCATCCGCCCCCACGTCCCCCATCTGTCCCTCCCCATGGGCACCTGCCCGCCCCCCTGCCCCCCTTTATCCATCCCTTCCCACCCACCCCCACCCAGCCCCCCTATCTGTCCCTCCCCACAGGCACCCACTCGCCCCCATGTCCCTCTCTCCCCACCCATCCCCACGCCCCCTCTATCTATCCTTCCCCCCAGTGGCCCACCCCACCCATCCCCATCCCCCCACCCACCAGGCTGCCATTTCGGGTTTCCTTGAGGCAGGGCCAGGGGGCACCATGAAGGGGCCTGGGGGCGGCTCGGATTCACCCAAGGAAAGTGAGATGTTTGGTTTTAACCCCCCTCCCCCCCCCCGCCATGGGGCAGGAGAGCCGAGTCCCACTCCCCTGCGAGGGGTCGTGGCCGGGTTGCTGGCAGAGCTGGGGCAGGGCTGTGCCGGGCAGGACGCAGGGCCGGACCCTGGGGATCTCTCTGGGGGTCCATCGCCCCCTCCTAGCCCAGAGCGCTCCTCCCCCCCACAGTGGCCTGGGGGTGAGCGTCTCGCCGTCCTGGGCAAGCAGCCCCCAGCGTCAGCCGTAGCGAGGGGGACGTGGGACCCCAGGAGCCGACCCCTCCTCCCCCCCATCCCCCCAAGAGCCGATCCCGATGCAGCTCCAGGCCCCAGCCTGCGGGTGGGGGGTGACTGAGGGCCCAATTCTGGAGCAGGGGGGCACATCCGCCAAGGGCCTGATCCTGGGGTTGCAAAGGGCCCGATCCTGCAGTGAGGACCCCCCCCCACCAACACACAAAGCTGCAGAGGGGAATGAGACCCCGACGCCCCCTCCCTGCCCCCGTCTGGGGGCTCCTGGCAGCCCCCCCACACCCAGAGCGAGGCTCATCTCTCCAGCATTGTCACGGCAACCAGGGGGTGGGGGTGAAAACACAGCAGCACCCCCAACAGGCATCAGCCTAGAGCCCCACCAGTTGCCCAGCCGGGGGCCCCGCAAGGCCGCCAGGGCCAGGGGCAGCTGCTGCCACCTAGTGGCCACTGGAGGGGGGCTCAATCAGCTGCAAAATCGCTTGTCCCCCATCTCCACCCCCTACTAAAATGGGCCTGCCCCAGATCCCCCCCAGGGCCCGAGGGTGGTGTGGGGGGGGGGGGCAGAACAAACCATCAGACCATGGTTTGCTCTGCTCAGGGGGGTTTATTGGAACATCCAGGATTCAGAGCCCCCCCACCCCCTTAGCGGGGACCTCTCCCAGGAGCGCTGGCCCCATCCAGGCCCCCATGAATCGCCTGCCCCCC